GTGCAATCATGACTGTTAATAAGCAAAAAGGAAATCTGCATTAAGATTATATTCTAATGTCTTTTTCAATTCAAAAATAGAAAAAAATAAAAATTATTATTTTTTTGAATTGATTAGTAGTTTTTACCAATTACTATTTGAAAACTCCCAGTTAACTTAAAAACTCTCAGTTACATTTTTGCTTCTGAAGAAATTGGATTGCTCCTCAATATGCTTGGTGACAAATCATTGTTAATGTGTTGGCTTTATATACTTCTATATATTTTTATACAAATGAGATTTTTTAACACATTCTACATCAGAGCAATCGTTTAAAGCAGTATATTGAGCTTAACGCTAGATTTGATCTTGACCAAATTAATCAAATTTCTATTTAAACTAAAACAAAATAAAGCTATTAAAACAACTAAATGAATTATGATAGTTAAACTTAATGAGACACGTACCATATAACAAAAAACTGTGAAATAGAATATTTATAAAGATATACTTGCTTTTTTTGTAAATATATAGTGTTTTATTAATATTTATAAAGATATAGTTGTTGCTTTTATGAATATAATAATTCAATAATTGTATATATTACCAAAATCATAACTGCATTATAACAATACAGCATCTTTTAAAATATAATCCAAATAATATACAATATACTATAATATATTAATTTAAATAACAATGTTACTATTATTTTGCATAAGATGTTATGTTATATTAATAATATAATAATATTTTAATATAAATAAATTAAATACATTAGGTTTAACTTAATTAATAATATAACATCTTAATGGTAGCGCTTGAGTAGTATTTCGGTACGCAAAAATGTTGGTCAATAACGGACGCTACTTTGGATTAGTCTTATGACTAATAATTATGACTATTTTTGGCTGTTCCTATGCTAAGCAAACAATATCTTCGGATATAAGAACATTGTATAGAAAAGTATAGCATGAAAACTCAAATAAAAAAAAAAAAAAGAAAATAAGCTTTTTGTTTAATTAAACTTTCTTTAATTAAAGAACGAATGTTTGAAGAATGTTTTAGCGACTTTAATTTGTGTCGTGTTAATTATTTATTAAACTTTGTTTTAGTTTTTACTGTTAAAATATGGTCTCAATTCAGTAAATTTCATGATTTGAAACTTAATTAATCATTAGCTAACAGTCAGTGAATTTTAATTCAGCACATTAAGGTAAGAATAGCTTTATTTAGTGGTAACACAAAGGGTGCAATACTATTTATTTGTCAATGGTTCATCTACTATTAAGTGTATTATTGTAGAGATAATAAATATTCTTACTATCCGACAATATGGTAATTAATGATTTATCTTGTCACTTTTTTGTATTTTTAATTTTTAAAGTGAATAAATATAATTTATATAAAAATGTATTCAGTGTATTTATTATCCTACTCATTAACTAAAATCCAAGACACAAATAAACTAAAATATTATTTTAAAGCACGTTTTCATTTAAAAGTTAAATCTTTTAATGTGGTCAAAATTGCTTTTGTTATAAAATTCATCGTTTTAAGTAATAGCATATTAATCTTTTTCGAAACTGGTGGAGGAGAGCGCGCCGAATTGATTTGTGCGCTAGTACTCAACGTAATTAAGGAGAGATTTTACATTTTTAAACTTTGTGTTTACTTTTTTGTGTTTTCTGCTTATTTTCGACTATTACTTTTATATATTTTTAAAAAGTAGGATTCAAGCTTTTCTAATGTAATTTTTTTTTTTTATATAAATCTTTTTTTAACCAAAGAATCAAGCAAAACAATACTAAAATACATAAAACGCGACGGGGCAGCGTCATAAAAACAGCTGAAAGAAATCGCGACGTAAGAATTATCTTGTTCTATCTCCACATTTTTTAGTTTTGAGATTTAGGAGACGGCGTATAAATTTTTTTTTATAACTTACGTTTTTTCCGCAACTTTTTTACTTATAACTTAGATTTCAATTCAGTAGAAAAACATTATTTTGAGGAACACAACACTATCATTAACTCAATTTTTTCAGAAAGTGGAGATACAACAAAATAATTCTAACGTCGCGAAATGTGTTATTTACATTCCAAAAATGTCTCTTTTATTCGAAAGTAAAATGACTTCTTGTTTACAGCATTAAAAAATTTAATAAATGACTAAAAACCTCTTATTTTATCTTTTCGTAAACAGTAAAAACGTTAAAATCAAACTTTTCACTTTAGCTTTCACTCTTAGCAATCTACTACCATAATTTCTTTATAGCCGTTTGAATAAATTATTAAACAAAAACGTTTTAGTATTTATATAATTTCTGCCCCATAGTATTAGGCTTGAACTTCAAACTTGTAGATAATAAAATCATCAAATATTTGTAAACACGAGCTTCGTGATTTTTTTAAAAACACAAACCAGTCTAAACGCACACAAAATAAAACGGCATTTTTTGAACTAAACGCTATATTTTTCTTCCGATCTCGCTGAGTAGTATATTTCTTAAAGTAGTAAAAATAATTTTTGGTGCTAGATTTACTTTTTTTTTAAATAAAGATGAAAATTTATAAATATGATTAAATTTTGACTCAAGGGCGTGTTAATTTTTTTGTTTTGTTTTAGGTGCCTAAAGAAGACGTAACGGTCTTGTCAAGGAGGTTTATTAAACCTCCTTGGTCTTGTCACAGAGCACCGCGGAAGAGCATTTAACTACAGTAGGCTCTTGCTTAGTCCCGCACATTGAACCAACTGTGGCAATGCAGACTTAACAGAAGGTGTAGACTTAAGATAAGTTTCGGTTTACAACATTTTCATTAACTTGCTGTCTTGTCGGTTTATTTGTTAGTTTGTTTAAGACTTTGTCCTCGCAAAACGATCATTTCTTTAGAGTAAATTAAAGAAATTGTTAAAAAAATAAATCATTAAAAAAAGTAATGAAAATAAACAACGCAAAAAAAACATGTTTGGTCTCAATCGATCAAGTTTATCGCATAATTCAAATTGCAACTTATAATATTTTACACTTTAGACAGCATAGAATTGTTGACAGATGTCAATCCATGATTGTTTCTGAAATATATCTACACAATACAGTCATGAATGTAATAATGTTCAGCATGGCTTTCCATAATTTTTTAAAAATTAACTAATAAAGTTCAGTATGATTCCATGCGTTTTGCTTAAAAAATGTGGACTAAACTGAAGTTCTACTGACTTAGAAAGTGCGGACTTAAGCAATAGTCAGCTATAGGAAGTTCATAAATGTCAGAGTTAGTATTGAATATGATAATTTATGAATTCAAGTGTTGGTGCCTTGTATGTGCATCATTTATATTATCTAGAACAATGCTTACGAGTGTATTAGATGTTACTACAAACATAGAATAACAATACCACAAGCTGTAATTTTTTGAGTATTAAATACTAAATATCTCGGCCAAAGAGTCAAATATTATACATTATCTAGTACATTTAGGGGGAGATCCAGCGTTCAATACAAACATATTTCGCGTCATTGGTAAGGAAGTAGGCGTACACTTCTGTAACAAGGTCTTATATATTAGGTTTTGTTTTTTATGTTTTAGGTTAGGCACCTAGAACATAAAAAAAGGTCTCAATCTATGCAATTATAAAATGACGTAATATACTGATACCTAATTAATTTCTATGTTAATACTTATCCGATTAAAATCTAAACAAATTTATTAAAATTCATTACTTCTAAATAGATTGTCTATTTTCTCTCATTGCCTCCTCCCTTTGAATCCGTCACTGGCATGGTGTTTTAGATAACTAACTTCCAGACATGAAATAAACTCAAAAAAAATTATGTTTATACTTGTCAAATAAGTATACTCTGCAAAAAATTACGATGATGGGAGCTTGGGAACAAAAAAGCAATAAATTTTTGTTGAGTGTTCATATAAATGTTTGTCCATATAGCATACTGCAAACGTATAAATGTTTGCAGTATCTTTAACATCAAAAAATGCCCAAGAAGTCTTTATGGTCTTATCACAGAACACCTTGGAAAAGCATTTGAAAGGAAGTCTACGCCTCCTTCCTTTCCAATGTTAAAAAACTTGTCCATTGCGTTTAACCACGGATCTCAAGCTTCTGAGACAAGCGTGCTAACCACTGCGCTACGGCTGTTCTGTTATACAGTATATACAGTTAATTCCCAGTAAGTCGAACATCACTTAACTCAAACTTTTATTATCTTGAACTATTTCATTTAGTCCCTTGAAATTGTTTTATCGATTACTATTAAAATTCTCCGGTTAAGTCGAACCTCGGATTACTCGAACTTCGTTAAGTGGAACCATTTTCTCATCCTTTTCCAGCAAACTTCTTTGAATACTTTTTGTATGGAAATTAAAAATACTGACACAATTTTTTTAAAAAAAAGAAGTCATTCCATATAAAACATTAACAACAGTCTCCTAATTTTTTCTCCTAATAGTTTTTTTATTAGATCTGAATCTAATTTCGATCTGAATAGAAGAAGAAAGTTGCATAAGTTGAGCATGTTAACAGTCTATTGTTTTTGCATCCAAAATATTATAATATTTTTACTTATTTTTTGCAGAATATCATAATTTAGTCTTTACTTTTAAAGAATATAAAGAAATAGTTCATTTAAAAAAAATATTTATATCGAAAACTGCATTATTTTCAACACACCCAATCATAATATCTTAGGAAACCAGTTCCTTAAGATGTTCTTTTTTTAATGTAACTCAAAAAAAACTCAAAATGATAAAAAAATAATGACAAAAATAAAAAAAGTTAAATAAAATTGTATCTATACTAAAGTAAAAAGTAATTATGTTAACCATAAAATAAAACAATAATAAATCTTTCCTATCTCTAAAAAAGTTTGCGATACTATTTTTTTTTTAAATTTCTCTCTTGAAATACCAAAATGAAGCTCCATTGAGAATAACTTTAAAAAAAAGCGCTTTTTTTAACAGGGTGGTCACATAAAATTTTTATAAGAAAAAGAGGATGTTAGAGAATTTTAGAGGAGATTTTGCATTTAATGTAGATGATTTTTTTCGCAAAACTACAAAATTTGAATAAAAATAGAGGATTTCAGAGAATTTTTTTTTCAAGGTTTAACGTCTATGTTTTCACATAACTTTGGTTTTGACATGGGTCAACAATGTCATTTTTTTTTAGATGACATTGATTTGCTTAAATTGATTTTTTTACAAACCAATTCTCATTTCAAACGTTACGCAGTTTTGCAGACCATGTATTTTGAACATTATACTACCATCAAGAAATAAAAAATAATAAAAAAGAGGAGTTAAAGAGGAGATTTTATGATATTTTTAACTTTTTAGATGATAATAGAGGATTTTAGAGGAGGTTTTTTAAAAAAGAGGACTTTAGAGGATTTTAGAGGACCTGCGGCCACCCTGTTAAATAAAAAACCGCATTTCATCTTGAACGTCTCAAAACGAATCATCTTTTTTCTTTAAAGAATCTTTTTGTCATACATATAAACGTAAAAAAATTTAGAATATTCTTGTTGTTTATAAGTTGGTTATTTTAAACATTTAAAAACCTTTCTATGCCACTGATCTTAGAAACCTGCTTATCACGTGCAACCTTCCTCTATAGATCGTTATCTGACGTAAAATAATGCTATTAGAAAACTGTTAAAAGATAAATCATGATAGAACCGTTAAAAAACATTTATTATATAGTTAAATGAATTGCTATTTGAAAGACTACCTACCGCTAACTTTTATTATCAAATAATAAGGATGTTATTGTGTCGCTAAACTTTTTCGAATATTATCATTTATCTATACTGCGTGAACACAGTTCGTTTAAAAAATAAAATAGTCTAAAACTTACTCAATATGTCAACTCAAATGCTTATATGACAGCTTTAGGGGTGGGACACCCGGCTCTGATTGGTATATACTTTACCATTGAATAAAGAAAAAATTGGCTAACTTAAACTAATTCATATCAGCCAAAGTTCGACCTAACGGGAATTTGCTTTAGTAGAACATTGTTAAGTTAAAGCATTTTCCTTTGCTTCTTCGAGATATCGGGAACTAAATGTATATACATATGCCTAAATACACATCAACATATAATAATTAACTGTAACATATGTATATATATATATATATATATATATATATATATATATATATATATATATATATATATATATATATATATATATTATGGTGATTCAGAATGAGAGAATTTTCAAAACAAAAATACGTTTAATTTGGTGCAAATATAGAAAGTAGGTTTTAAAGCATACCGGGCTCATTTTTGTGAAAATATTTTTTTTGTCAAAAGTTGCTGATTTCAGTGACGTTGAGGGAGGGTCTAATATAAATCAATTTAATTTGAAATTTACATTTTTGATTTTGAATTTTATAATTCAAAATAAAAATTTAAGTAACTTAAGTAACCAGTTTTTAGCCTATGCAAAAACTTTGATTATAGTAAACGATTATGCAGAAAAAAATGTAGACATGATGCAGGAGTTTATTCATAGATACATTAGTGAAGAAGAAAAAACAAATGAGACTGGTAACCATAGACAAAGTTTGTTATGCCATGAAAAAACCTGAAAAAAGCTCCATCAAGTTGATAAAAAGGAATATGGAAATAAGTTTAAATAACATTAATAACTTCAAGAAATTCAAAACTGATTAGAAAATTTTTTTTTTTAATTTTGTAGGCTTTTTTGTAAGGTAATTAGAAAACTTTGTTTTTATCATAATTGGCGTGAGTAACTTAAAAATTGATTTTGGCGTAAAAACTTGAATTAATTTTTAATTAGTAAAAAAATGAGGGGGTAGATAAGGGTGAGGGGAGAGGTAAAGCAAATACATTACTAATTGAAGTAACAAGCAATTTACAATATTATCAACCAAAAAGTATTTTTATTACCGTCGACACCAGTGGGGTGGGGGAGGATTTCCCCCCGGTTTTTTTTGGAAGACCTTTTTTTTTATATAAAAAATTAAAAAATGCCTCCCCGCCCCCTTCACTTTGAAGGCCGGTTCAATGGTCCTGTTATATTATAAAAAATATCCTTGTATACTCAAATGCTTTTTTAGTATCACAACAAACTCAACAATTTTGTGAATTTATAAGTAATTTGAATAAAAAATGCTCGGTAATAAAACCTAAACAAAAAGACATATGATTTTAAATGCAAAATATATGTAGTGTAGGCCCTTTTTATTTAAATTCAGCCAACTTGGTTTATATTAGATCCTCCCTCAACGTCATTGAAATCAGCAATTTTTTCCACAAAAATGAGCCTTGAGGGAGGGTCTAGAGTGGTCAGAAAATGCCCGGTAAGCTTTAAAACCTACTTTCTATATATTTGCACTAAATTTAACGACATACGTATTTTTGTTTTTAAAATTCTCTCATTCTGAATCACCCTTATATATATATATATATTACAGTTAGTCATTATGTAGTATGTCATTGTTTATACATGATGTATATATATACAAATATATGATGCGGAACTAAATAAATGCTGCATCATATATATATATATATATATATATATATATATATATATATATATATATATATATATATATATATATATATATATGTATATATATATATATATATATATATATATATATATATATATATATATATATATATATATATATGTATATATATATATATATACATATATAAAAGTGTTGTTTATCTTTGATATTTATTTGCATTTTGATAAATGCAAGTTGTAAACATACTTTTATTAAAAATGCTTTTACAAAATTTTTGTTTTACACTCTGTTTTTTCTTAACAAAGATGTATAAATACAGCCCAAAATTAGTACAATAAATTATTAATTAAAAATATCAAATTTACAAAATATAATAACCAGAAATTGATAAAAAAAAATCTTTGCATCAACACCAACAAACTTATGATAAAACTTATTATAACCAAACTTTAAAAATTGACTTTAATTAACTTTAATTAAAAAACCAATCAAAAAATGACAAACAATGTTTAAAAATTAAGTATAACAAATACTTGAGTTTTTTAATACCTTTTTTATACTTTAATTGAAATCAGACTAAAATATTAATGCTCATTACTTCCACTCCGAAAAAATAATCTGTTAAAATCCACCAACCGGTCATTATTACTTAGACAGAGTTGGACTCAGTAATAATTAAATTTATTGATATAAATATTTGTATGCATATTTTATATTTGTTTGTTAAGTTAATTTGATAAAATAAACTATTTTATAAGTAATATCTATAAAAATAATAATTTTTTCTTTCAAAACATTAAAAACCATTCATTAATTGCAGTTAATAAATGACGTTTAAAAGTTGTACATCTTGGTCTTATATCTCAATGATAAATGTTAAACATTTTAGTCTTATATCTCAAGGATAAATGTTAAACGTCTTGATCTTATATCTCAAGAATAAATGATAAACATTTTGGTCATATATCTCAACAATAAATGTTATACATCTCGGTCTTATATCTCAAGAATAGATATTTTACATCTTGATGTTGTATCTCAATGATAAATGTTATACATCTTGATCTTATATCTCAACAATAAATATTAAACATCTTGGTCTTATATCTCAAGGATAAATGTTAAACATCTTGATGTTTTTTCTCAAGGATAAATGTTAAACATCTTTGTCTTATATCTTCAGGTTAAATGTTTTACATCTTGCTCTGATATCTCAAAGATAAATGTTTTACATCTTGATGTTATATCTCAAGGATAAATGTTAAACATCTTAGTCTTATATCATCAGGCTAAATGTTATACATCTTGCTCTTATATCTCAAGAATCAATGTTAAACATCTTATATCTCAAGGATAAATGTTAAACATCTTATATCTCAAGAATAAATGTTTAACTTTTTAATAGAATGGTAGTTGGTAATATTATAATGTTGTTTAGACAAGACTTTTGAATGTCATTTTAAAATCAATTTTTGTTTGTCATGTTCTGTTTTGACGTAGAAACATAAAATGAAACAGTATTTTTTTTACAAGTTTTGCAAACAGAAAAGATAAATACAAATAAAAGTAAACTAGACCAAACGATAAAAACTGTCAACAGTTTATTCATTGTTTTCTTTATTCATACAAATAAGTTGTTTGTTTTAACATAATGTTTCTTTTTATTATCGGTACTGTATATTATCTTTTTTAAAGTTAAGTATATTTTAGTAAACTCTGTTAACAATAAAAATATTATGAACATTGATAATAAAATAATAATAATTAGTTGCAGACATGTAATGATGAAATCTTTAAATAAGTCGATATATCTTTTAAACAACACTGCGATATTTTTTAGTTTTTTAAAACATTTATAAAGCTTTACAAAACTCTCTATAAAACGTGTTTTTTAGCCAACGGAACTTAACGAATTTTTAAGAACCATTAGTTTTAACAAACTACAAAAAAATATTCTTTACCAAATATCAGTCTGTTTTGACATCATATTTTTTTTACAAAAGTTTTGTTAACAACATGATTAACTAACATCTACTTCATTAAAACTTTTTAAAACTGGTATTTTTTTCATTAAGTTCTAAACCTTTTTTTTAACATCTTTTTGACTATCGTTTTTACAAACTGAGCAAATCCACAAAGAAGTGAAGCATCCTTTTTTTTGGATATATTCAAAAATCTTGATAGTTTGAAAATAGTTGGAATATACACATTTAGTAGAATTTCGCTAAACAGTTAGTTTGATTTAACTTCTGATTGAACTTTAAATTTGTTTTCTAAAACGAGATCTAGTATCAGTTTTTCTATGACAACTTTTTTTAAAATGTTGCTTATACACATTTATCAACTTTTGTACATCGTCATTTTGGTATATCTTAAGTATATTATCTGTTGAACAGATTTTTCCATTGTCAGCATGTCTTTTATTAATCAAACAATATTTATCACTAGAACAGGTTTTACCAACGGACGCCAAGATTAAAAGCTTGGATTCTAAATATTTTTGAGAGGAGTTACTGTAGTGCTAATGGTGTGAAAACCAAGTACGATCGGTATTCTTCAAATGAAAAAAGATGCAAGACTCCTAAATATCTTATTGCTACAGTTTTTATTTTTTTAAATACCTTATTTTACAATCACAAAAACAGTGTTAACTTTGTTGCGTTTATAATTTATTATGTTGTCTTTATATAGTTAATATGTAACCAACTATAAAAGATGCTTATATATATATATATATATATATATATATATGTATATATATATATATATATATATATATATATATATATATATATATATATATATATATATATATATATATATATATATATATATATATATATATATATATATATATATATATATATTGCTGAAAATTGATAACCCAAACAAGAATGTTGATCGATGCGTTTTACAAAATCCTTGAATGTTTGGTTAAAATACTAAAACCAGTTTTTCTCATTTGTTTCTGTATTTAAAATTAAGCTTTTTAGAAATCTTAAAATATGATTGGTATGTGGTTGTCTTGAAAACATAAACAGTCGCTTTTGTTCGTCTATAAAAATATTACAACACAAACTTTATTCGTTTTCTACGTAACAAATTGACGCAAATGGTTTTAAGTATTTAGTCATAAAGAACAATTTTGATTGGTTTAGAAATTTTTCGGTAAAATATATTTAAGCTTATAAATAACGAAAACATAAGTCATCAGACGAATCATCAACGAACATTAACGACAATATACGAGAACTTATATAGTTTTATTAATGAATTTCTTAATGCATCAAGAAGTACCAAACCAAGATTTTGAACATTTGGATTTATTTGAAGAATTTTCTATGTATGAAACTCCATTACCAAAGTTTGTAGTACCGAATACTTTTATAAAAAATTTAGAAGAAAAAAAAAGTTGCTGTTTTTACGAAAATAAAGTAAGTAAACTTCAAAATCAAACTCTTTTCTTTTTTAAAGTCAAACTAATTTTAAATTCAATAATAAATAATTTACTTTAAAAAAGTTTTAAAATATACTTTCATTATTTACTTTTATGCTTTTCAAATAACTTGATTTCTAAAAATCAACATTATCCGCGTTTTTATCGTAAAAATTAATAGAGCTTAAAAGTTAAAATCAGGGGGTAATGAAAGTTCTAAAAAAAGAATTCAGGAAATGTGATTTAGCGTAATAAAGTGTGCTCGAGATTAAATCGTTTTAAATAAATATGGCATTGAACATTGTCTTTTCCATTGATGATCGATACTTCTTTGCTGTTTTATAATCTAAAAATACTTTTAAAAAAATGGTTGTTGATAGTTTTACGGAAGAGTTCTCAAAATTATCTTATTTGCGTTCAAAACTTTCTTTACCTCTTAGTAATAAAACTAAATTATCACATTGGGAAAACAGTTATTCTCCCTACAAGGTCAATTTTTATTCTTTTTAATAATTGATTAGAAATACGATAAACGTGCACGTGTGCGCACGTGTGTAACGGGCACCGCCGGTTACAGGTATACGCGAACACGATATGATTTTATATATAAGTATTGTTAGGTTAATTTTGAAATAGATGTTTATATTCTTTTTTTAGGCAAATCCAATTCAATCATCTCTTCAAGTTCCATACGATAATGAGTTCAACTCAAGTTTGCCTCAGTTTCATGAAGCTGCATTTTCTTCCGAGATGTCGTACAATTCTTTAAACAGATCTTTAGTTCAAGGCGTTTCAAGCAACGGAAAGTTCTCTCAGTCACCCGTGAACTCCAATTACTCAATTTCACCTTTAGAATCACCTAATCATCAATTCATTCCAGATGTGTATCTTGGGTATATGAATAGAAACACAACTATGTCAAAATATCAAGATAGAAACTGTTGCCCATATTTGTATAATGGCGTATTATCAGAGAGAAGAACGAAACGCGACGAACAGGTGATTGCTACTTTGAAGTTTTGTAATATTTTATTTTCTTAGAGTTATATTAGAGTTTTTTATTGTGATTATTTTTAATATTATTATTTTTATTATTATTAGTATTAATGTTTTTTTTATTGTGAAAATATTGAGTAAGGGTATAAATGAATTAATTGCAGCCAATTTAAATAAAATCTTATATCAAACTTAAAATTAGGCTATTAAAATTTGCGATTTTGCCAAGTAAGTACAAATATTTGCTTTTGTTTTAGGTTTATGTCAATACGGAAGTTTAACACAAAGCCAATTATTTGTCAATGTGTTAATCTTTTTATGAATTTCAAATTTGAAATAATAATAATAGAAATTTATGTTTTATAAAATCTACCGGCACTTAGAGCATTTTAAAATGAAAACGGTGTACACGTTTTACCCTTATTAATAAATATTATTCTCGATTGGGCTTAAACATTCCTAAATATTAAAATAATCTTTTTATTAATGATAATCTTGGATAAAAATTGAAAATAAAGGTAGAATAAAATTTTAACTTTTATAAAAATTTTCTTTTCTTGTTAACAGCTTTCTTATGAAGAATACGAAAAACGACGATTGAGGAGAGAAAGAAATAAAGAAGCTGCATTAAGATGCAGGACAAGGCGTAGAGAAAGAATCGACGCGTTAGAGCAGGTAATTTAAAAAAATTTATTTGTAAAATAAGATTATGGACGATAGCTTTCAGTTTGACCACACCTTTTTAAAATTGAAAAAAAAAAAAAAAAAAAAAGACAATAACAATAACAAAAAAGACAAAAGCTTATTTAAATGAAATCTAAATTTAAGTTATGTTGGTATATAATTAAAAAGTTGCTAATAGATTTAAAAAACTTAATCTTCCGGTTGACAAACAGTTAGGAGGTTTTTATGAATTCTTTTCGTGAATAGCTGCATGTAAATTTAAACTGTTTGTAATGTATATTTTTATTTGCTTTCTTGCAAATCATTCATTTATAAGTCGACAAGAAATATTTCAATCCAAACATTTTTATTATAGTTAATTTTTTAATTATAATTTTATGCTTGATGGATTAAATGTGCTACATTATACACTATAGCAACCAAACCAACCAGACCCAGAATAATGATATTTTGATATTTTGGATGTGACACTTTCAGGGATTGTGCGAACTCCAAACTTAAGTATGCTCATGCTTATGTCAAATGAGAATGTTTTGTAGAAAATTGTGGTAATTGGAGCCTGTGAACAAATTTACCTAAAAATATTTGCCCACAAATGTTGGTATTTTTCTGTAAAAAAATCCATTCAACGGCTCTGTTTAGACACAACTTAAACTAACTAGATATCTTTATTGTGTATTTTAAAGATTTTATGAAAATTTAAATTAGTATTAAACTAGTGTTAAAAAATAACAAAAACTTCAAAAAGCGCCGGAGGCGCTGTTTGAAATTTTTATTTTAAAAGGGGTGTTGGTACAATAGATTTGCTACTTTAAAACGACGGTTACAATAATGAAGTTATGATAAGTTGCGTACCGGGTTCTAATACATAAATTAGAGCACTTACGGACATTGTTTACCCGCAACTAAAAATTGTTTGTTATTTTAATTATATTGCGTTTGATTTAGCTCGTTAAAATCTCTTTTTTTATTTTATTACTTTTAGCAATTATTTTATTATTCTTGTTTTGCGGAAAGAAAATAGTTGAGAAAGAAATAAATCAACCAAATCAACGCTTAATACCTACTAACTAACCTACTAACGCTGCGTTGCTTTGTGTTTTAAGTTATTTACATTTGCCACAAAACATCATGTTTTAATTTTATTTCCAGGAAACTGCAGGAATTGAACGAGAAAACTTAAAAGTTAACGATGAAATCGCAAAACTTGAAAAACAAGTGAACGAAATGCAAAAGCTTCTTAGAGAACATAAATGCAAAAAAAATTTGTCATACAACGACGAAAGTTTAAATCTTGCTAATGTACTCTCTTAAAAACCTTTCAAATTTGGAGAATCGGTACAGTGTCCAGAATCTCGGACTAATTGAGCTTGTTGCAGTAACCCTTGGAAACAAAGATTTCAAAAAAAAATACCAGTTGAAAAACAAAAAAACCGTTGCCAAGTTAAAAAGTTGTGAATGAAGATCGAAAAATATTTTGAACGTTAGTTTAAAACAATATTAATTTGGGCGGAACAAACCACTTTAATGCCAAGAAAGTATTTTGAAATCAATTACATATACAATACGATTTGTAACCACGTGATGTTATCACGTGGGTTATTACGTTTTTAGCGAAAATGAAGTTATTTTCAGTGCGTACAGTATAAGTTATTTATAATAGCATATGGCAATTGTATTTGAATTTAGATATAAATTTTAACTTTGAAATTTATAAGATAGATAGTTTAATCAAATAACAAGTTTTAATCTTAAAACATGATTAATAGGCGGAACTAGAATCACTTAGGCAGAACTAGACAAAATTAATTGTTACAATTGTTTCTTAAAATTCTTTGTAATTGATAAGATTAAGATATAACTAATACAATTGTTTCATGAAATTGTTCATTAAAATTAACTAATAATAAATTAATTCAATTTTAACCATAGATTTCAAACTTTCTCCGAAATGATATTTTGCTTGTATGTCGGTGTAAAATTTAAAGTCTTTCGGTAAGTTTGTAAAGTTTACGCTAAAGCTTAAATTTTTGATTTAAGTATTTTATTACGAGAAAAAAACAATGTCAAGGTATTTTGATGGCCGTATAATAGATAAAAAAAAGTATAAAGTATTAAAGCTTAACACATGACTGGAAGTTGTCTAAAAACACTCAAAAACTCTAACTAACAAAAAGTTCATAGTTCGATGACGGCCAGATAAGCGACATTAGTCAGGTAAGAAGCTTGAACTTCTTGATCAAATACTCCACCCTAATCCTAGATCCACCCTAAATCTAGATCCACCCTAAACCCCATGTGAGGAAAGCGACATTAATTTTTTTTTTTTTTGCATATTCTGAAATTAAATAAAAATTTATTGCTAGAATTCACAAGCAACGTTTCCTTTTTCTAAAATTCCAAAAACGTTTCCTTTTTCCAAAATTTACAATAAACATTTCAGCGTTTCAAAGTGTTTTACAAACACTTCTTAATTTACACATGTAGTTTATATAATGGTCCTTTCACATGAAGTTGATGATAAATTTCACAGGGTCTGTAATATTAACATTATTTTTACTGCCACTGTTATAAAGTTTTTATTAGTGTTATTATATTAAATAAAATTAAAAAAAAAAAAAAAAAAATTATCATTATTACTATTATTATTATTTATTTATTTATAAGTTTTAAATTTTGTAATTACTAGCTGATTGTTTTAGATGACAGAATTGCGTGTAATATTAAAAGGAATTCCGCTCCGATTGTTATGAAAACATTGATTTAGGTTCGTCTCTTAAAAAATAATGGGACAAACTTAAACCTTTGAAAAATTTCAAAATTTAAATTATTCAAAATATTATTTTAATTAATGCATTTATACAATTAATAAGTTAAAAGCCTAATTATTTATAATAATTTAGTAATTAATGGTAAATCATAAATATTTTTAATTAATAAATTTAAAAAAAATTAAAATTTATAAAACTTTTACAACAAATTATAACTAATAAAATTTTAGTATATCTGCAAAATTTAATCTTTTAATCTTCTAATTTTAAATTTTTAAGAATTTGAAATTATATATATATATATATATATATATATATATATATATATATATATATATATATATATATATATATATATATATATATATATACATATATATATATATATATATATATTTTATACAAATATATATATTTTTATACAAATAGTATAATCATTATATAAATGATTATATTATTTGTACATTAATATAATCATTTATATAATGATTATATTGTTATACAAATTTGAACTTTAAACATTGCGATTTTGTAGCAATGTGTCGCTAGCTACATATCGTAGCTTTGTAGCTAGCTACAAAATATCTACAAATTTATAGCTGGTTGATAGCTACATACGAAAATTTTTTCAAGCGATTTTATTACGATATGACGGTAGCTACAATAGCCTGTGAGTCTTTAGCTTATTAAGCTAGCTGTCCTCGTAGCCAAATCGCTGTCTTTATCTTTACAAATATCGATAGCTTTTCGCTAACTTAAAAAAGCTAGCGATCCTCGTGGCCAAATCGCTGTCTTTATCGTAACAATTATAGCTAGCTATTCGCTATCCGATTTCCCACCGGGATATATATATATATATATATATATATATATATATATATATATATATATATATATATATATATATGTATATATATATATATATATATATATATATATATATACATATATATATATATATATATATATATATATATATATTTATATATATATATATATATATATATATATATATATATATAAATATATATATATATATATATATATATATATATATATATATATATATATATATATATATATATATATATAAATATATATAGGGGGGGGGGGTAAATACCCCTTTCCCCAAAGAAATGTAAAACTTCAAAATATTATTGAAAAATTTGTAAAAGAAATAACAAAATACAAAAAATTGTTCTGCAGCTAACTATTTACTTTCTTTAAACTAAAACAAAAAACTAAAACTAAAGCAAAACTAAAAACTATTTTATTTTAGCATTACAAAAAAAATCTATTGTTGCATTTTTAACATTTTCACGATATTGAAGAAAAAAAAAAAATGTTTCGAAACATTTTAATGTTATCATCATAATTTCATTCTATTATATAATTAGATAACGATAAAAAACAGTAAAATTACTATCGTTCTATTTTGAAAAATTTTTTAAACTGTTTTTAAAAACCTACGAAAAAATAAATATAGATTTGGTTCGAATGGTAAATTTTTTTTTTTATTAATTTAATTTCAATTTGTAGTATAGTTTATACACGCGATACCGTTTTTGGTAGTTAAAATTTCAATAAAAAAGTTTTTATTTTTCAACAATTGAAGTTGCAACACTTCAATTTATATTACACTTATATTTAATATACGAAGAATTTTTTTTTTAAATAGTAACTGAATGAATTTCTTATGAATTAGTTTCTTATTTAGAAAACAAAAGTGTGATTATAACTATTTTAAATAAATAAATGACAAATGATTTTTACTATTTTTAATGAAGTTATTTTTATTAGCTACAATGACCAACAGGGTAAAGAGGGCAAAGCTTTTTAGACGACTATTTTGCATACAAGCATACAAGCTATGTGATGGTAATGTCTTCCCTTTAATTAAATGTATTTTGCAAATGCTTTGCATTCTTCCTGTTAGCGTTGCTTCAGGAGAACGGAGTTTCTTGGTTTTTAAAGACTTTAAACTTGGTTAAGATCCAATGTAAGACAAGAACGATTAAATGGCTTAGCTATGATGCATATCCATAGAGATTGCATCATAAATGTCGAAAAAATTATTGATAGTTTTGCATCTTCAAAAACTAGATAGCTCAATTATATATTGTAATTTGTTACAGGGTTATTTATTCTTATATGCGCGTCTATTCATTTTTATATGCGCCTTTATTCATTCTTATATGCGTTTTACAAAAGCAATTGTAAAAAAGCAATTTGAACAAAAAAAAAAATCATTTAAGTAATTTGTTTTGAAAAAGCGGTTTATTTTTTCAAAACAAATTTTTCTTATTTCCTGGTAAACGAGGTTAAAAATACTTAAAACAAAGACTTTTTACATTCGATGATGGTTTATTTAATTTAGTATTAGTTCTTTGTTTTTGATGATGGTTTAATTAATTTAGTATTAGTAATTTGTAATTTTATTATTAAATTTCTTGATTGATTAAGTTATTATTTATCTAATTATTCATTTATCTAGATTTAAATTTAATTATTTATAATTATTATTAATATCAAATTATACATCCCTATGGATGGAATAGAAAATAGCAGTACCAATCGTAAAACAAGGAAAATGTTACAAAAGAGCACATTGAAATGCTTAAGCATTTAATTGAAAGAAATCAATCTACAACAAGCATTTCCACTTCTCTTAATTTATCGAAGCGCACAGTTTAAAATCTTGTCGTTAAACAGAGGATAATTCGACGACATGACTACATTCAAGTCGTTTTCTGATAAAAAAACGAGGTAAAAGACCTATAAACTCACAAATAAAAAATATTATCGAATTATGCGTACAAGAAAACAAACTTTGCACACAAAAAGCAATAAAAAAAAAATCTTTCTGCAGCTGGCTTCAATATGTCTCAGCCTACTATTTCAAAAAAACTCAAAGGCTTGGATTTATCAAGAAAACGTGTTGTGCATGTGCCAGAAGAACGAAACTCAACACAAGTTATTAATGCACGCTACGCATTTGCAAGCAAAATAAACGGAATTTCAGAGGAAAAACTTATTTATTTGGATGAAACTGGATTTAATGTGCATACTAACAGCACATATGGTTATTTGCTTAGAGGTGCGCCAGCAATTTTACAGTCACCTGCAAATCCTGGTAAGAACGAAACAAAAACTGGAGGCTGGAATGCAGATTCATTTTGTACTTTCATAACTACAATGATGGCACCAGCGGTTAGGAATACAAATGTGAAAGCGCCGGTACTTGTTATGGCAATTGTAAATTCCACTGGAGTCATTCTGTTAGGCAAAAACTAGCCTCTCATGGTATAGCTATTAAGTATCTGCCAGCATACACGCCACAGCGTAATCCAATAGAAGAATTTTTTTCTTTTTTAAAACATACTTACAAACAGGGAGAAAGGCCTCGAAATACGGATGGGGTAATCAGGAAACTTAAAAATATAATGAATACTACAGAGTTTAATTTAATTCCATTTTACAACCATGTGCGTAGTTACATAAATCCAGCGCTGGCTCTGCAACAATTTCTTAAATAAATAACAATGAAAACAACCTAATTTAAATTTTAAATATATCTATATAAAAATTTAAAAGCGTATTTATTGTTTATATTAGATATAATTATATTAGATATTTTATGGGTGGTTTACCCGCGTATAAACGCGCATATAAGAGTGAATAAACACGCATATAAGAATGAATAAACACACATAAGAATGGATAAATGCGCATATAAGAATGAATAAACACGCATATAAAAACGAATAGATGCGCATATAAGAATGAATAACCCTGTAAAATTAAGTCTTTACTAAAAAAAGAGTATACTAAAGATATTATTTTGTTTTTTTGTTGCACATTACAGACAGGGCCAGATTTACTTATAGGCAGAGTAGACCAGGTGCAGCCTGTGCACCATGATTTTAGCGGGCTCAATTTTTAAATGTATTCTGGAAATAAAATCC